GTAATTGGTGGCACTGACTGGGGAAATGGGCACTGTGAGCCTGACACAGAAGCTGGCAGCAGTGGCAGACAACTAAGTGCATTTACATTACATAGAAAATAAAAATAAAAAAAAAGCATACCCTTATCCCTAACCTAGCTATGCTTTTCCCTATCTTATGAACAGCAGCTACACTTTCCCTCCTCTTACTAAGCATGCAGCTTGAGAATGAATCTAAAATGGATGCCTTCCAGGAGGTGGGAGGGTCTGCTAGGGAGGATGTGCTGCTAATTGGCTGGAATGTGTCTGCTGACTGTGAGGTACAGGGTCAAAGTTTACTCAATGATGACGAATAGGGGGCGGGTTGAACCGCGCATATGTTCGCCCGCCGTGGCGAACGCGAACATGCTATGTTCGCCAGGAACCGTTCGCTGGCGAACCGTTCGGTACATCACTAGCAGCAACTAAAGAAAGTTAATATAAACAAAGCTCCAGGACCTGACGGTATCCATTCACGTGTACTTAAGGAACTAAGTGCAGAAATAAGTGAACCTCTGTTTTTAATCTTTCAAGATTCTTTTCTTTCAGGAAGTGTTTCGGAGGATTGGAGGAAGGCAGATGTGGTTCCTATATTCAAAAAGGGTTCAAAATCCTTGCCTGGAAATTATAGACCTGTGAGCTTAACTTCTGTGGCTGGTAAAATATTTGAAAGGTTATTAAGGGATAATATTCAAGAATTCCTTGAGAAGAACATGGTTATCAGCAAAAATCAGCAGGTTTTATGAAGCACAGGTCATGTCAAACTAACTTGATTGCGTTCTACGAAGAAGTAAGTAGAAGTATAGATCAGGGTGTTGCCGTGGATGTGATCTATTTGGATTTTGCCAAGGCATTTGATACAGTTCCACACAATAGATTAGTGTTCAAACTCAAGGAAATCGGTCTAGATGAAAATGCTTGTTCTTGGGTAGAACATTGGCTTAAAAACAGAGTACAAAGAGTTGTCATTAATGGTATATTTTCAAGCTGGACAGAGGTGGCAAGTGGTGTCCCTCAGGGGTCTGTTCTGGGACCCCTTCTATTTAACATGTTTATAAATGATCTTGAAGACCGCATTGAAAGTCATGTTTCAGTGTTTGCAGATGACACCAAACTTTGTAAAACAATACAATGTGAGCAAGATATTACTTTGGCAGAGAATTCCTGTAGCGATGAGTTAAAAAGCTCAGCAGTGTATTTGCTTTGTGGGCAGTGTATTAGAGTGGAGGGAGAAGGCAGTGTATTAGAGTGAAGGAACGGGTGGCAGTGTATTGGCTTTGTGGGCAGTGTATTAGAGTGGAGGGAGAAGGCAGTGTATTAGAGTGGAGGGAGGGGTGGCAGTGTATTGGCTTTGTGGGCAGTGTATTAGAATGGGGGGAGGAGGCAGTGTTTTAGATTGGGTCTGCATGGAGGCGCTGAATGCTCCCCACGGCGATGCTGATTGCCAAAGCGCTGCAAGGCCACACATTCACAAAGGGCCTGCTCAGTGAGCTTACATGCTAGAGGGAGTGGGGTATAATGACACAGTAACAGAGAGATTGAGGGCCCTGCTCAGTGAGTTTACATGTTAGAGGGAGTGGGGTATAGTGACACAGTAACAGATGGATTGAGGGCCCTGCTCAGTGAGCTTACATGCTAGAGGGAGTGGGGTAATGTGACACAGTAACAGAGGAATTGAGGGCCCTGCTCAGTGAGCTTACATGCTAGATGAGTGTGGTATAGTGACACAGTAACAGAGGGATTTAGGGCCTGCTCAGTGAGTTTACATGTTAGAGGGAGTGGGGTATAGCGACACAGTAACAGAGGGATTGAGGGCCTGCTCAGTGAGTTTACATGTTAGAGGGAGTGGGGTATAGTGACACAGTAACAGTGGGATTGAGGGTCCTGCTCAGTGAGATTACATGTTAGAGGGAGTGGGGTATAGTGACACAGTAACAGAGGGATTGAGGGCCCTGCTCAGTGAGTTTACATGTTAGAGGGAGTGGGGTATAGTGACACAGTAACAGAGGGATTGAGGGTCCTGCTCAGTGAGTTTACATGTTAGAGGGAGTGGGGTATAGTGACACAGTAACAGAGGGATTGAGGGCCCTGCTCAGTGAGGTTACATGTTAGGGGGAGTGGGGTATAGTGACACAGTAACAGAGGGATTGAGGGTCCTGCTCAGTGAGTTTACATGTTAGAGGGAGTGGGGTATAGTGACATTAACAGAGGGATTGAGGGCCCTGCTCAGTGAGTTTACATGCTAGAGGGAGTGGGGTATAGTGACACAGTAACAGAGGGATTGAGGCCCTGCATAAGTGAGTTTACATGTTAGAGGGAGTGGGGTATAGTGACACAGTAACAGAGGGATTGAGGGCCTGCTCAGTGAGTTTACATGCTAGAGGGAGTGGGGTATAGTGACACAATAACAGAGGGATTGAGGGCCTGCTCAGTGAGTTTACATGTTAGAGGTAGTGGGGTATAGTGACACAGTAACAGAGGGATTGAGGGCCTGCTCAGTGAGTTTACATGTTAGAGGGAGTGGGGTATAGTGACAAAGTAACAGAGGGATTGAGGCCCTGCTCAGTGAGTTTACATGTTAGAGCAGTGTTTCCCAACCCAGTCCTCAGGCACACCTACCAGTCAGGGTTAGGGATTACCCAGTTGTGTCTAAGGTGTTTTTCTTCTTTGTAAAAAGCACCTTAGACACACTATGAATATTAGGCCAACTAATTATGATATTAGAAAAGGAGGTGAGGTATAGTGACCTTACAGTAACAGAGGGATTGAAGAAGGGGCCTGCTCAGTGGAAGGTTTACATGTTAGAGGAGTGGGGTATAGTGACAGTTACAGAGGTGTGGGGCTACCAATTGAGTTTACATGTTAGGGGTGGGGGTATAGGCACACGGTAACCTTGGAGGGGTTGAGGGCCTGCTCAGTGAGAGTTTACATGTGGGGAGTGGGGTATAGTGACACAGTAACAGGAAGTATTATGAGAGGCCCTGCTCCAGTGAGAGAAGCTTGCCCATGTTAGAGGGAGTGGGGTATAGTGACAATAACAGAGGGATTGAGGGCCCTGCTCAGTGAGTTTACATGTTAGAGGGAGTGGGGTATAGTGACACAGTAACAGAGGGATTGAGGGCCTGCTCAATGAGTTTACATGGTAGAGGGAGTAGGGTATAGTGACACAGTAACAGAGGGATTGACGGTCCTGCTCAGTAAGTTTACATGCTAGACAGGGTCGTTTGAAGGAATTTGGGGGCCCCAAGCAAAATGGACATGAAGGCCCCCCCCCGACCCCTCCCATCCCCCACACGCACGCAAAGCCTACAGGAACCACAGCATAGCCATACAGTTTAAGTTCACCCACACTTTATATAAATAAAAAAGGTTTACAGTGCAAATACTGCTTAGAGCTCTGCCCTGCTAACTGATACAACATACACATATGCCACGTGGAAATCTCGGCCTACTAAATTTACATTTCACCGAAATTTCCTCACATTCCCACCTTTGATACAAAATTATTTCAGATGCATCACCAATCATAGTTTACCAACACTTCCTTTTGCAGCCCTCTAGCCCTTTCCAGGACTTTTTTAGAGGCATTTTTGTGCCCAAATGTTCGGGTCCCCATTGACTTCAATGGGGTTCGGGTTCGGGGTCAGGTTCGGGGTCAATTTTGATCCCGAACCAGGACTTTTTTCCGAAGTTCGGCCGAAACCGCCGGACCCGAACATCCAGGTGTCCGCTCAACTCTAATGTTGAGTAAAATCAGACCTCTAGATAGTATATTATAAAACATAGGTCGATAAATATGGACTTGCGTATACATTTTCTAATATTAATAAGTTCTACAGTTTGTGTTGCCACAATAAAGGGTTCTAAGATGTAGGTATAGAAGGCATTACCATTTGAGTCATTCTGGTTCAGGGAGATACAGGATAATTAGTGACTCCAACAGCTGACTGCCTAAAACAATGTAATCAAAAAGGATTGTTATCTAGTGATATCTTGGGAGAGATATCACTCCTTTTAGTAATCCGATGGTTTTCAGGTTAACAGGTGTGGGGGTGATATTAGAACAAGGCTTGAGAGGTTGTGACAGATGCTGTTCTGTTGGTGCCATGTATCTAATAAATTGTCCTCATTAAAATGGATCGGTGTCCTTCATTTGTATCTATTGCAATCATACACTACAATATGGAAATATATTAGCCAATCATGATGGTTTCTTCCTTGAATAATTAAATAATTAAATCCCCATAGAATATTAATTCCACATACCACTGGCCACACACAACGAGAGATCATATAAATATAATATATTCCTGAAAACGTGTGTTTGTAGTAATAGATTCAGATTACAATTCACGCTTTTAAAAAGTTTCAGGCTTTGAATGTATAACCTGTGCTTCTAAAATGCCAAACACCAAGTTATATCTGCCAGATAAACACATTTTTTCAAACAATCTTTTATTGAAAAATTTTAAGAAATCAGAAATTCAAAACAAATTATTTAATAAACGCCCAAATCAAATACAAATACAAAATTTAGTCAAAAATAGTGAATCTAGTGCAAATAAAAAGATACCACGGCTGTTTTAGCCTGAATTTTGTCATTCTGGATACAGTTCAAAATATAATAAAACTCCAAAGCGAATTCAAGATTTTTTACAAACGAGAAATAACCAACTGGATTGAGCTGACAGAGTATTTACAATTCTAAATGTTTGAATTCACTTTCAATTCCTCCTGAATTTCCAACAATGAACGTTTCATTGAATAACCCTGCAATGGTTAATTCTGAAGGGTAGGAGTGCTTGAAAATTCTGAAATGAGAATGGTCACACCCAGCACTGGAGCAAAGGACAGGCAATTATGGTAATGATTAGTATATCTACCCCCACAGGATAATTAGTGATTCCACCAACAATAGCTCTCTGCTCTATATGAAAGGCAGTCCGAGAGAGAGAGGGCATATATGCTACAAACCAAGTGCACGCTACACGTCTTTGTAACAAACATGTTTCACATTGCACTGAAAGGACATGAAACCGTGGAGAAACTGGAGGAGTTGAGAGCAGTGCCCTGTTACTACTGGGAAGAGGATGAAGAAGATTGGTATGTCTCCCCGTGGGAAGCCCTGAACTATGCCGTAATCTACAACCACGTTGCTTACGCTTCTTACCTGCTGACACATTTTGGGGAGAAAGCGCTGGAGGCTCACCCTAAGCATGGCAAAGCGGGGTCCCATCACTTATCTGTGGCAGTCAAGGAAAACAGACGGGATATTGTCCATCTCATTCTTCAAGTCATACAAGGCATTCCTTGTCACGCTACTCGAAAAGACAAAATGAACCACACAAAGTCTTCTATTAGGAGCCCACTGTACGAGGCATGTCGGAAGGTGAGGGGAGACTACGTACTGCTCCTTTTAGCCAATGGGGCAACAACTGTACCGCAAGGTGAACAAGGAGATACTGCTCTAGATGCAATTCTAGAGCCCTTATGGATCTCTCCGGAACACCTCGAAGCCAGGCTCCAATGCCTGCATTACTTGTTGTGGTTTTCTCCATGCTCAGACTTCACAATGAAAAAGTGTCTACAGCAATACCCGGACTACTGGGTTTCCATACTGGGAGAGGAGACCTATCATTGTCTAGTTGGACATTCCCCTATGACTCTCTATCACCAAGCAATGAGAAACATCATGCTGTCCCTCTGGCCCTCGTGTTTCCCACAGAATATTGAGCAACTCCCGCTACCTACATGTTTAAAACCTCTGACGTCAAAGTGGCCTTTACATGTTTCCACCGGTGAGATGTGCTATGAGCAGTTATCGTTTTGGCTTTAAAGGGACACTATAGTCACCCAGAGCACTTCAGCTCAATGAAGTGGTCTGGGTGTCAGGTCCCTCTAGGGTTAACCCTGCCTGATGTATTCATAGCAGTTTTCTGAGACACTGCTATGTTTACATCTGGGGTTAAGCCAGCCTCTGTCTTCCGGACAGCCACTAGAGGCGCATCGGCAATGATTGAGGCATATTATGCCTCAATCACGGAGAGCGTCCATAAGAAAGCATTGAAAAATGCTTTCCTACGGACACTTTGATGCTGATGTCGGCGGGGGAGGAGAGGTAAGGGAGCCCGGCAGGGGAAAAGGGTGAGTAGCTGAAGGGGTTTTAACCCCTTCAGCGCTGCGGGAGGGGGACCCTGAGGGTGGGAGCACCCTCAGGGTACTATAGTGTCTCTTTAAGTTCTTGCCTTGGTTACAGACTGAAAGACTAGGTTTAATGGCACTTTATTTTGCATTTTATATATTTATATTGTGTTTATTTTTTATTTATTTTTAAATATGCACTTTAATGTCCATCAGAGCTGTGTAAATTTGTTTTTAAGCTAATATTTGATCAGGGTGGCAGAATGAGCACTTTTCGGTTTATAATACTGAACATAATCCCATGTATATTGTTTTTTTTAAAAGTCTATTTTTGTATTTATTTAATATATAGTCAGAATATGCTGTTATTTGCAAGTATAGCAGCCAACACAGGACTTTTTATGGTATTTATTTATATTATGTGATCTATTTAATATATTTTTATTTAAAAAACCTGAATTGAAGCTCTTGTTTCTGTGTGTGTGTGATTGTCTCCATTCTACAGGAGGGTCTTTAGAGTCCTTCTCTTCTCTCTGCATTATCGCTCATCAGCTCATCAGCATATTAGACAAAGTGTTTTTACTGTCAATCTGGAGTAATAATTATACTGATAAATGTTTTTGATCTTTATTCGATGTTTATTCACTAAATTTAGGATTGAAAATACTGACAATGAAATTGCAGAATTAGGTTTAAAAAAAAAAAGCAGAGAATACTGCCATCTGCTGGACCAAGGTTAGCCACGACTGGCTGAGAGATATTGGGGTCCAGTATCTGCTGGACCAAGGTTAGCCACGACTGGCTGAGAGATATTGGGGTCCAGTATCTGCGGGACCAAGGTTAGCCACGACTGGCTGAGAGATATTGGGGTCCAGTATTTGCTGGACCGAGGTTAGCCACGACCGGCTGAGAGATATTGGGGTCCAGGTGCAAAATCTATAACTGAAAAACTCTGACACTACATAATGGGGTGGAGCTGTAACAAATAGTATATCAATGTATACATATGTATTTCAGTAAACTATAATGAAAAAAAAGATAATCATTATATTTTACAGAATTATTGAAATACGTATGTATACATTGACATACTGTTTTTAGTTACAGCTCCACCCCATTCTGTAGTGTTTGAAGTTTTTGGGTGTGGGTTAAGGGGATACCACACAGGAGTGTTTTGAGCATATTAACCACCACTCTGTATATTTTAAACTAAAAAAACACAAACTCCTTTAGAATCGCAAAATAGAGCAACATTAGATTAGGGGAGGGGGCAATCTGACAGCAAAACTACTTTGTTTCAGCACAGACTGGCCATTAGGCAAACCAAACAAATGGAGGGGGGTTCAAAGGATTACATTTTTGCCCCCTTATGACCCTGTTCCCACTGACACCGCCCCCCATACACTAGCTCTTCTTTTTCTTACAAGAAATACTACACCTCCAAAATAGCCACATCCACTGCAATCCCACTAGTACCAACCTCACTCCCTGTAACGCTACAAGTAGCGCTCTAATCACAAGTTGCAACCTCCATGTACATACAACACCCCAGGGAGCCCCCCATCACCCTGTGTCAGGGTTCTAAGTTAACCCTTCAGCTTTCTTTATTGCGATGCAGTTACTAAGTGACTGTGGCACTGTTGAAGACTTTCCATAGTATCTTAACACACAAACTACCACTATTTTTTGGGTGGCAGTAATTGCTATAATGTTTATCAGTCCCAATACATAGAATTAAACATTTCCCTGCACACTATCCCAAATCCCTTTCTATAATTGACTAAGTGAAGGTTATTCAGTATCACCCCAAAGGCCATTAAAATGTAAGCTCACCTGCAACGTCTATCAAACCTTTTTAGGTAAGTCCTACCCCTTCTGCTTTTTTGGTGTTTTATTATCTCCCTATAACCTAGCCTTTCCTAGTCTTGGTTCATGTTTGGGGTATTTTAATTGCAGAACTGCAGAATTCAGAGAAGGTAAAGAGACCTTGCTCCCTGTACCCTGCTCACTGACTCCTGGAGGTCCTAGTCCAGAAGTCCTGCCTGCTACCCTTTATTCAGAGTTTTTCCTGTTTTGTCTTAACTAATTTTATGCTATTTCAGTTTGTTTATCCCTTTTACCTTGTTGTGCATTGTATTTTTTCCATTGAATTTAGATTTTTACTTTATGGTGTTAAGTATGGTGCCGCCATTGTCAGCAACCCACCCCAACGACACGCAGACACCCTCTCTTAACCCTGTCCATAATGGGAGCATCGGTCATGGACTGAGGCAGACATGCAATGCTTCGGACGAGTGCGGAGATCTGAGGCAAAATTCCAGACATATTCCAGCGGTAGGTTGTAGGTGCTCAGTGTGAGACGAGGTGGTGCCTGGGGATGGGAAGTGACATCACTTCCTGTGCTCTCTTTTTCTGGTCTCCAATGATTTCCTCTCTGGGGCTCTCTGCAAGAAGAGGCAGGGTCTATGAAGTTACATTTCCTGTGCTCTCTGATTATGAAGGAGAAGGAGCAGGCTGGTAGCGAAGACCAGCTATGCTCAATTTTAGAAAGGGAAAATGCATGTTGGTGGAGAGACAGGGATTGAGGTTGAAAAATATATAAATGTAGATTGCATGGGTTAGTTGGGACACCTCTGCCCCACTACAGCTTCTATACCCACCTTGCACCTACTACAGGTCTTATGCCCCTATCTCCCCTCCTTCGCACCTACTATGGGCCTTCCTGCTCCCACTCCCGCACCTATCTACCCGTTACCTGTTACAGCCCTTAACCCCTCCCCATGCACATACTACAGTCCCTATTTCCACTGCTCCTTCTACAGCCTCTATACTCACATGTAAGACAGCCCATATCCACAGTCACTACACCATAAACTGCCCTCTCCACTCACATTCACTGCAAACAGCTCCAAACATGCAATCCCACAAGGCACCTCACTGTTTTCACACAATCTCATACCACATGAAGCCTCCCTACACACATTACAAGCAGCATTTCCACCATTGCAATACTGTATACAACCTCCACACCCTCTTATTACAAATTCTTATATAACACTAAACATTCTTCAGCACTGTACAATAGGGAACACAAGACAAACTATTAATTCTAACACGTTTGACATACACAATCACAAACAGCATCTGACACATGCAACACCACACATTGAGTCCAAACACGTCTTTGGAGCCTATTTGCAGACTTGCACTTGTGGGAAACACTGCGTATGACATCACCAGCTAACACAGAGGAAATGTACAATTAAATGTGATTTATTTTAATGGGGGGAGGCATGCCAGCAAGGATTACTCTATCAAATAACAGTGATCAGTCTGTCCCTGCCTGTCCTTCATTTGTTCCCAGGTATTGTACCAATGGGGATGTCCCAAGCAAAAATGGAATATGGATTTCTTTAAATTGCTTGTTCTGCTCTGCGCTTAAAGGACCACTATAGTGCCAGGAAAACATACTCGCATTTACAATGCTTTCCTATGGACGCTTGCATGTTCTCACTGTGATTTTCACAGTGAGAATCACGCAAGCGCCTCTAGCGGCTGTCAGTGAGACAGACACTAGAGGATTTGGAGGCTGGATTAACCCTATTATAAACATAGCAGTTTTTCTAAAACTGCTATGTTTATTAAGAAAAAGGGTTATTCCTAGAGGGACCTGGCACCCAGACCACTTCATTAAGCTGAAGTGGTCTTGGTGCCTAGAGTGGTCCTTTAACACAGGACCATTAGCACATTCAAAATCTATTCAGCGGTGCTCTCTGCTCTGCATATGGGAAGCCCAGAGGGACATTGAACTGGCATTACCACTTTGACGAGGTGTTCAGGTTAGTGATAACATACTCTCATACTATAGGGCTGCTCTGCTTTTTAATGCCAGCTGAATGTAGTCCCCACCTCTCCTTTAAAGAGCACTAATCCATTCTAGCATACATCACCCAGCCCATTAACACGTGGGTAGGTAAGTAATAGGACAGCATTTTCGATGAGTCTGCTTTCAACAGGTCCTTTTATCATATCTCATGAGCAGAACTGTGGCTGGGGCTGAACTACATATCCCAGAAACCCATGCTAGACTGGACGGTTAAAGGCGAGTATCCTTAATATGGGGATAACTTCTGAATGCATTATTTATATAAACACTCAAAAACAAGAAGGTTGGAGGGTTACTTTCAATAGTGTACTTCAGGGCCGGACTGGGGATACAAAGCAGCCCTGGAAAAAAAAATTTGTGCCAGCCCCATAAGTCACTGCGCCATATATTGTCGCGTGTAATATGTAAGGCTATGTCTTGCCAGGACAGATGATTGAGTAATATATATATATATATATATATATATATATATATATATTTTCTAATATAAAATATTGGTCCTTTCAGGGTAAAGCGTTTAATT